TCTTTCTTTCTTTCTTTCTTTCTTTCTTTCTTTCTTTCTTTCTTTCTTTCTTTCTTTCTTTCTTTCTTTCTTAGTGCAGTTTGCAAACCAACATTATTTAACTTAAAGTTTGAAAATAAGATGTTCACTCTGAACTGGTAACTGTCCAACTTTTTGTAAAAGTAAGACAGAGTTTTAATCCTTTCGCTGGTTGTTCTAAGTTTTTTTCTTATCTTTTTGAACGCATCAGAGCCAAAACCAGAAGCAAATCAATAAAATACTAAGCTCTGCAGCCGCACCCTTTATTAATCTCCACTGAAAACTCAGACGATCTTTTCTGAGAAAAGTCATTTCCGAGTCACTGATAAGACATTTGACGGTGTCACCATTAAGTCAAACTTTTCATTTAAAATGGTGGTCTTTGGCTTATTTCTAAAACCATAAGAGCAATTTGACAATTACAAGAATAACTGCTAATAACTTGTAAAAAAATTTCAAATAAAAAATTCTGAAGGGATTTTGTCATGATGTCACACTAGAGTCAAGAGGATTTTATTTAATTCATTGAAATATTCACCACAAACACTACTGGAACAGTATTCCTGACAGTTCATATTTCATATTTACGGAAATAAAGTTTGTAACATGAAAATATGGCAGCTTTTCTAACAATATATCACTTTCTAACTGTTCATCTGCAATAAAGAGCAGATTATTGTTAAAGTTATAGGTCATTAAATCATTTTTCTATCCAGAATTTTGACTTTTTTACTAAAAAAATAAAAAAAATCTGCAAAGTGACTCACCACACAAGCCAGAAAAGTGATCAGAGCTGCAGTATGGACCATGATTTCTGAGCGTGTTCAGAAAGCAGAAGAGTTGGCGTCCTCACTTCTAACTTTATGGAGTGTTTAATGATGTCCTTCTGGGAGACACATCAGGCAGAAACAGTGAGAGGACCCTGCACCGTCCAAGCTTGTCCGCCTTCTCCTATTGCCTGTCTGTCCAGCACTGTTGGGGAGTAAAAAAAAAAAATCACATTTTTGCATGTGTAACGTCATCACACCTGTGATGTCACACCTGTCTTATCTGGTCTGATGCAGCAGCTGACCAATGGCAGCAGCGGAGGAGCGACTTTTCTATTAGATCATTAACGTGAAAGAGTTTCTGATAGGGTTGCTGGGGTGATTCAAAACAGTCTTAATGAAACTATTTGGGGAGATCCCAAATAAGCAGACACACCCTGTTCTTTTATGAGACGTGGGGAATCATAAAATTGTCCTTCCTGTTGATGGCAGACATAAAGATGCTGAGTCATGCATATGAAAATCAAACTATTCATAAGAAGCTGCAGAATGAAGATGCTTTTTTATCTCTTAAAACCAAAGGCAAAAGGTTGATAATATTTTACATGTACGCCTGTTGTGTTAGCAAAATATCTAACGAACTCTTTGATTTTTTTTTAAAAAGAAACTCTCAGAAAGTAAAAACATGAAGAACATCTATGGCTGATTTTGGAGTTAATCCAATTCAAGATGGCTGCTATGGAGAGCTGTTTTATTCAAAATACAATAAATAAATAAATGAATAAATAAATGAATGAATGAATAAATAAATAAATAAATAAATAAATAAATA